TCCCAAAAACTATAAGCCTTCTATAATCTTAATTTCAAGCACCCCACTGTCTCTAATCACGACCTTATATCTTTCCATTTCATTCCCTCTTGTGCCCCAACTCCAACAGTCCTTTAACTTCCATCCCCTGGCCTATAGTCCATTGATGCAACCACTGTTTACTATCCCTCACACCCCTTGTGCCATAACTTTCCTTCTTACTCAGTTTAGATAATAGTCAATCTCACCACTTTATTTCATACAAAGCAGTTGACTCCGTTGTCCCTCAGCTTTATGTTGTAACTTCCAGGCCAAATAATAATAATAATAAATACTACTTAAATCCAACTGTTTGGCTCAATCATGCCTGAATTTGCACAACCAAAGATAGCTAGAGAAAAGCATACAACCACGTTGACTAGTCTTACTTAAAGTTATGAGCCATAATCTCAATGTTGACAGACAATTATACTTTATTTCCTTAGTTCATTCTCTCCCTCCCCAAGACAACTAGGAGATGAGGGCAGAGAAGTAATGAGAGCATGAACCTTCTAATATTTTTACCCCCATCCTCACTCCCAGTTTCCTTATTGATAAAATAGAAGCCATCTGAAGAATATTTCTATGCACTTCCACAATGACATTTACCACCTGCCTACATCTATATCCTACTCTATGTTCTCTTCTATTACTATGGATGAATTCACTGTGCTTCTAGCAAAGGACAATTGCTCTACCGGAACCCATCTCTTCTCACCTACTTAAGGACATCACTCCAGCAATTCTCCCCTTTCCCTCCGTGCTTTAACAAAATTCCCTCCTTACTGGATCTTTCCCATCAAGTTACAAACATGTTTTTATTTCTGTCATCTAACAAACAAAACGAAATTTTCTTGAACCCACTTCTCTCTCTAGCTACTGCCCCATTTTCCTCTGCCATTTACAGAAAAACGCGTATTTCTTTCCTCCGACTATTTTGACCCATTGAAATACTCAATCCTCAACTTAACTGACCTATCAGCAACAGTTGATATGGTCAATCCCTTCCTTTCAGAAACATGTCTTCAGTCATCTTCTCAGACAGCACACTCTTCTAATTTTCGTCCTACAGAGTGGCCATTCCTTAATTCCTTTGCTGGTTCATTCTCATCATCCCTACCTTTTAACACCAGGTTGCTCCAGGGCTCAGTTCTCAAAGCGTTTCTCTTTTCTTTTTATTTTCATTCCAGTGATGAACGCATCTAGCCTCATGAATTTAAATACCATCTACAGGACTATGATTTTCAAATTTATATCTCTAGTCCCACTTAACCACTAAACTCCATTCTTTATCCAGCTGCCTCAAGACTTCCACATTTGATTGTCTAATCAATAGCTCATATTTAACTGGTCCAAACCTGACCTCCTAATCTTCCCCCAAATCTGTTTTTCCCACAGTAGTCCTCAGCTCAGTAAATTTCAACTCTATCATTCCAGTGACTCAGGCCAAAACTCTTTGAGTTCTCCTTTTTCTCAGAACCCCACATCAAATCTGCCATCATATGCTGCTGGTTCTCCAACAACATGTACTCATGACTAGCTGTGTGACTGTCGCTACCCTTGACCAGATCACCACCATCATCTCTCACCTAAGTTATTGCAATAGACTCCTAATCTGGTTGCCCTGATTTCTATTTTGCTCTTTTCAATCTATATTCAACACAAAGCGATCCTTTTAAAACTTCAGTCAGAGTATATTACTTCTTTGCTGAAACCCCATAGTGGCTTTTCATCTCACTCTTAGTCGAAGTTATGATCACATAAGGCATATAAGGCCTTACATGATTTGACTTTCACTCTCCCACTGCTTCTCTGACTTCATTTTCTAATAATTTTTCCTGCACTCTCTCAGCTCCAGCCACGCTGGCTTCCTTGCTGTTCTTTGAACTTGATGAAGACACTCCTACCTCAGGGACTTTGCACATGCTATTTCCATTCCCTGAAACGTTGTTCTTCCAAATATTTATGTGATTCATCCCTCTACCTCTTTTAGGTCTTAATGAAAGATATGGTTGAAGCTAGAGATACAGACTTGGGAACAATTTTTGTTTGGGTGGCCGCTGAAGCCCTGGTATTGGTAAGAGCTTGCAAGGAGTATATGTTTAATGAAAAGAAAAGATGATCACACACAGAGCCCTGGGCAACACTACTGATGATAAGAATACAAACAGAAGAAAAAAAAAAAAAAATAATAGAGAGGGGAACAAAAAATTCCTACTATCACGAAATTTAAGGCAGAAGAGAGTTACAAGAAATAGGAAATGTGTAACTAATTCTACAGAAAACTTAAGTAACATGTGCGTTTTGTGAGTAGGAAATCATCAGGGACCTTCCATTCACACGGTAGAGTTGAAGCCAGTAAACAATGAGTTGAGAAATGACTAGAAGAAATGGAAGTAGAGACTGAAAATGAAAATTATTATTTTGAGAGTTTGGTTTGGTACAGAAAGAGAAAATCAACTGTTAGCTAGGAGGTGAATATAAGTACATGAGAAGGAAGATTTTTGTTCTTTTGGGATTCTTTTTGACTTTCAGGGTGAAAAAAAACAGTTTGAATGTATTTATAGACTGAAAGATAGGAAATAGAAGAGGGAGAAGCAAAAGATTCAGGAGAGGAAAGGAATAATTGATGCAGCAAGGTTCTGCAAGGAGGCTTCAATAAGCATTTAACAAATATTTATGGTGTGCCTACTACCACACGATGACAAGTGTTGGCATAAAATAATGAGTGAAATAAACATCAGGTAATTTGCAGCACAGTGAATGTGGGTGAGGTTAAGACCACAACTGTAGATTCTAGTCTAAAAACTGAAAGGAAACAAAGAAAAGAGAAAGGTTGATTATAGGAAATTGAGAAACTTTGTATGTGATCGTCTCAATTTCCTTCGAAAAGCAAGGGACTGCAATCTGTTGAGGGTAAAGAGGATCTGACAAGGGGACTTAAAAAAGGTACGATGTGTTAAAGGTTTGCAATAGCAAAGGGAATAGGAGAGGCGGCTCGTGAAAACAAAATATAAAGAACTAACAGTTCTGACTGCCTTAGTGCCATTAATTTGTAAAAGTTCCATTATTTACAATTTTGTGGGTTCTATCCAATAACACTCAGAATTCAAATACAGAATGATCTGTAAAGCTAGCAGGTCGTCGGTTGTTTGCAGGGCAGGTGAAAAAGTAAAATATACTACTGGAATCCAGAGAAAATCCAAGTTTTCAACTTGAGTTTGTCCATTTCCAACTCTTCTTTCCTTTGCCTACTTCTAATACAGAGACAATAAAGGCTAAACAAACACTATTTCCTAGCTCCCGTGCAGTTGAGTAAGCCATGGGACACTCTTCTGGCCAGTGAAACATAAAGAGAAGTCTGCAAATATGGCCTCTTGGCTTCTTTTTTCCTTCTGCCTAGGGCACCTAGAGAAGCAGCAGCCACTTGGTAATGAGTAGGACAAAATCCACATATGAAGTGGCAGAGCAGACACACAGAAAGCACGTGGATTCCTGACGGTGCTGCTGAGCTGCTGCATTCGCTCTGGACTGCCCTACTTCAGACTTTACCACGTGGAGCAAATAAACTCTTATTTACAGAAGACATGGTTTTTGTGTTTTCTGGTGATTTGCAACCAAACACATTCATAACTGAAATGGAGGTCCAGGCTAAGAGTGTTAGTCACAATGCTTTTGGTTGTTAAAAAACAAAAATGTTATAAAGTAGTATAAGAAAAAAAGCAGAGAAAGAATGTATTGGCTTATATAGCTGGAAAGCCTAAAGGATGGAACTGGCTTCAAGCCCAGCAGGATCTGTCATTCAAATAACATTATAAGAATGTTGTCTCTTTTCATCTCTCAGCTCTGCTTGCCTTTGCTTGACTTCATTCTCTTTAAAATATCTCCAAGCACAACAGGACAACCTCCAGCAGTTCTAGTTTTACACATTCCTTAGAAAACATAATCCCTTAGGCAGATTCCAACCCTTTCTTTCTCAATGTACATATCAGTCCCCACTAGGGATTGCTTGGTCAGCTTGGGTCAGGAGCCCACAACTGTGTTAAGAATGGTTAGGTCATATGAGTAACAGCTTCGCCAATGCCACACGGAGTGGGAGAAAAGCAGTTCCCAAAAGACACAGATACTTAACATATAGAAAAGCAACAGGTTGACCACAGTAAAAGAATTAAGTAAGGCCAGAAAGGAGGCAAATAAACTGGGAATAAATGAGTGGGTCATTGATAAGCCTTATCATTCGTGTGGAGAAAAGACAAGGTCTAGAAGGATATAAAGCTGTAGTCAAAGGTAGGATGCAGAATCGAATATTTCAGAAGAGTGGAGCAATTTTAGACAACTGGCAAGGTCTAGTTTATGGATGTACAGAAAAGGATGGTTTAAAAAAGATCAGCCAAAAAGGTAAAGGAGCTAGATCAAAAGTATCAACACTAGATTTGTATCTTTAAGGTCGTAAGCTAGTCAAACAGTAGTTACCTATCGCTATGTAACAAATGACCCCACAATTAAACAGCTTGAAAAAAGAGACATTTATTAGCTGTCATAGTTGCCAAGCTTCAAAAATTCGGGAATGGCTTAGCTGGGTGGCTCTGGTTCAGGGTTTCTCATGAGGTTGCAGTCAAGATGCTGGCCAGCACTGCATCCATCTGAAGGCTGAAGGATCTACTTTCAAGCTCACTCACATGGCTGTTAGCGAGCCTCAGGGCCTCATTGGCTATTTGTCATGCCTGACCCCTGTTGAGTCCTATAGGGATAGCACCATGTCCAGGAGGCCAAAGAAGAGACCCAGAACCGGCAAACCAGACGTAGGGTGTATTGAAGACTTACATTCGGAGTGCCCCAGGAATGACAGCCTGGACAGGAAAAATTGCTACTGTATATAAAATGCATTGGAAAAGACATAGAAAAGGCTTGCCAGTCTATTTATCCTCTCCATGATGTCTTCGTTAGAAAAGTAAAAATGCTGAAGAAGCCCAAGTTTGAATTGGGAAAACTCATGGAGCTTCATGGTGAAGGCAGTAGTTCTGGAAAAGCCACTGGGGATGAGACAGGTGCTAAAGTTGAACGAGCTGATGGATACGAACCACCAGTCCAAGAATCTGTTTAAAGTTCAGACTTATAATAGTGGCAAATAAAAAGTCTTATTTGTGAAAAAAAAATAAATAAATAAAATGCACGCAGTTTATATAGGCATTTTCACTTAGTGTTCTTCACCTAGCAACCTCCCGCTAGCTCAAAACAAAGAATCTCAATTCCTTGTACAATCTGCACTCCAAGTAAGGTGCCAAGGGCTTAGATGTTCTTTGTATAGGTTGGTGCAAAAGTAATTGCTGGTGCAATTACTTTTGTACCAACCTAATAATGGGTAAACTTCTGGGTTGGCCACCACTGGATTCCTTAGTTTGGAACTTTGAATCAACATTCTTCTTAGACCAAAATGTCATCCTCAGGGTATGCGTAAGTTATTGCTGTCAGATGCATCCACCACACACTATGGACTAGAGACATCATTTTCTGGTGACATGGGCCTCTCCATTAGCTCCCTGAGTGTTCCCATGACATAGCAGCTGGCTTCCCACAGAGCAAATGGTCACAAAGAAAGTAATCAAACACCTGATTCTTTTAAACTAAACCTTGAAAGTGACACACCATCCTTTCTGCCGTATGCTGTTGGTCATATAGAGCAAGTGTGGCATGATGTAGAAGGAGATTACACAAACATGTGAATACCAGGAAAAAGGGAGGTCATCTTGAAAGCTAGCTGCTCAGTACTTCACCCATATAGAATTCAAAATAAAGACACTGCTAAAGTTAACCACAGTCTTGAATCTCAATAGGAACAAGAAATGAGGCCTTGAGACCTTTGGAGGTAGCAATATGAAACAGAAAATCAGCCCACATAAAGTTAGGACAATATAATAGCTGCATTATCTGATAGATTAGGGGAAACAGTTACCATCTGAATTGGGGTTGACTAAGAAACTTGTCTGTCTGCCTGAGCTCTGAGTGGAAGAAGCAAAAGTTTCCTCTAAGAAGCTGACAATTCAAAACCATGGCTCTCCGTCTTCTGCTGGGTTTAGGGTTCAAACTTATGCTACCCACATAGCCTTGGAATCCTCAAATCAAGAATTAACATCAAACTTGGTCTTAATCTGTGATATTCCTCTAGGGCTTACTCAGAAGGGGTAGGTCCAAAACCTAGACCACTAGGGATTCTCACAGGAAAAGATAAAACAAAAATTTGTGAAATGTGAGTAAACATTAAAAAATCCGAAGCACACAAGAAAACAATTCATTATGAGAGAAAGCAAATTTAAAAAGGAAAACTAAAGCTCTCAAGCACTTAAAATAGTAGGTTGACAATATGAACTAGAATATAAAATATTTATATTTACCAAAAACATAAAACAAAAAGCAAGATTTTAGAAAACTGATTTTTTTTGTATATTAAGCATATAATCACTAAAATTAGAAACTCAATAAATACTTTGCCCTAATAGAGGAAATTCTGTCACATACTACAAAATGGATGGACCTTGATACCATCATGCTGAGTGAATTAAGCAAATCACAAAAGGACAAATACTGTATGATTCCACTTAAATGAAATATCTAGAGTAGTTAAAATCACAGAAACAGAAAGTAGAATGGTAGTTGCCAGGAACTGGGAAAGGGAGAAATGGGAAGTCACTTGATAGATTTAGAGTTTCAATTTTTGCAAGATGAAACAGTTGTGGTGATCTGTTACACAAGGATATGATTATAGTTAACACTACTGAACTGTGCACTTCATGGCTAAGAGGGTAACTTTATATTATGTGTTTTTAATAAAAAAAAAAAAAAAAAAAAACCTCAGTAGGCACTGCCACCAAGATAGAGCTGACATATTTTTTCTATTCTTCCCACTATGTAAAACAAAACAAAAAAAAACTCGAGACATCATATATCACTATATATATAATATGAATAATTATATATAATTTATATATACACAAAAGAAGAAAGGTGGGCATAAGAAGACAGGCAGGCTAGGGACCTGAGGACCCAAGGAATGACTAGGTGGTAAGTTTCCTGAGTTTTTTTCTTGCTTCATGTATGCCAAACTTGAAGCTGAAGAAGGCAGCAAACCAAAAATGCCAGTGGAAATAGATAACTTAATCTTAAAATTACCTGCATATATGTGACATTTAAAGGCACAAGACTAAATGAGACCATCTACATGTGAGCAAAGACTGAAAAGGGAAGAGCTAATACAGACTGCTGCCCCCAAACAGGATATGAAAAAGGAGTCTGACCAGGAGTGGTGACAAGATGGGGGAAGCCACTATGTGCCGAGCAGCATGCTGAGACTGCGTGTGTATCACCTCATGTCAGAAGTCCTGGCCAGAGCATTTAAGAAGAAAATAAAGGGCATCCAAGTTGGAAAGAAGTCAAATTGTTCCTCTTTGCAGATGACATGATTTTATTTAAAATAGCTACCAAAATAAAAGAAACTAGGAATAAATTTAACCAAGGAGGTAAAAGGCCTCTACAAAGAAAACTGCAAAACACTGATGGCTGTCCGGGGCCATGGTTCACACCTGTAGTTACAGCACTTTGGGAGGCAGGAATGGGAGGATCAATTGAACCCAGGTGTTTGAGATCAGCCTGGGCAATATGGCAAAACCCCGTCTCTACCAAAAAAGTACAAAAATTAGCTAAATGTATTGGTGCATGCTTGTAGTCCCAGCCACTCAGAAGGCTATGGTTGGAGGATTGACTGAACCTGGGAGGTCGAGGCTGCAGTGAGCTGAGATTGCACCACTGTACTCCAACCTGGGCAACAGAGCAAAATCCTGTCAAAAAAAAAAAAAATTGAAGAAAATACAAACAAATGGAAAGATATACTATGTTCATGAATCAGAAGAATTAATATTATTAAAACAACTAGACTACTCAAAGCAATCTACAGATTCAGTGCAATTCCTAACAAAATACCAAAGACATTCTACACAGAAATTTTAAAATCTCTTAAAGTTTATATGGAAGCACAAAAATCCTGAATAGCCGAAGCAATCCTGAGGAAGGGGGAGAAATGCAAATCTATAGTTATCATACTACCAGACTTCAAAATACACCACAAAGCTGTAGAAACCAAAATAGCATGGTGCTGTCATTTAAAAAAAAAAAAAAAAAAAAAAAAAAAAAAAAGACACATGGATCAATGGAACAAGATAAAGAGCCCAGAAATTAATCTACGTACCTATAGTTAACCGAGTTTCTACAAAGCCCCCAAGAATACTCAATGGGGAAAGTACAGTCTCTTCAATAAATGGTGCTAGAAAGACTGGATATCCTTATGCAAAAGAATAAAATTAGAACCCCATCTTTCAACCTATAAAAAATTAACTCAAAATGAATCAAAGGCCTAAATACAATACCTGAAACCATAAAACTGCTAGAAAAAGAAAAATAGAGGAAATACTTCCAGACATTGGTTTGAAAAAAGATTGTATGTATAAGACCTCAAAAGCACAGACAACAAAAGCAAAAATGTAAACATAGGATGATATCAAACTAAAAAGTTTCTTCACGGCAAAGGAAACAATCAATAGAGTGAAAAGACTATATAGAATGGCAAAAAAATATTTGTAAACTGTTCATCTGACAGGGGATTCATATCCATAATATATAAGGCACTCAAACATCTCAACAGGAAAATCCCTAAAATGAACAATTTGATTAAAATGGGCAAATGATTCAATCATTTCTTCAAAGAAGGCACACATATGACCAACAAATAGTGTGTATGTGTGTGTATGTATGTGTGTGTTTGAAATGGAGTCTTGCCCTGTTGCCAGGCTGTAGTGCAATGGTGCCATCTTGGCTCACTGCAACCTCCGCCTCCTGGGTTCAAGGGATTCTCCTGCATCAGCCTCCCAAGCAACTGAGACTACAGGCGTGCGCCACCACAGCAGGCTAATTTTTGTATTTTTAGTAGAGACCAGTTTCACCATGTTGGCCAGGATGGTCTTCATCTCCTGACCTCGTAATTTGGCCTTCTCGGCCTCCCAAAGTGCTGGGATTATAGGCTTGAGGCACTGCACCTGGCCCAAATATGTGTTTAAATGCTCACCATCACTAACCATCAGGGAAATGCAAATAAAAACCACAGTGAGATATCATCCCACTCCACTTAACATAGCTATTATCAAAAAGATAAAAAATAAATGCTGGTGAGGATACAGAGAAAAAGCAACTCTCATATACTGTTGGAGGGGATACAAATTACTACAACCACTGTGGATAACAGTGGGGAGGTTCCTAAAGAAAATACAAATAGAATAAGCCTAGGCACTGTGACTCATGCCTGAAATCCTAGCAATTTGGAAGGCAAAGGCAGGAGGATTGCTTGAGGACAGGAGTTTAAGACCAACCTGGGCAACATAGCAAGACCTTCTCTCTACAAAAAGCTTTTAAAAATTAGCCGGGTATGGTGGTGCACTGTATCTCTCGCTACTTGCGAGGCTGAGATGGAAGGATTGCTTGAGCCCAGGAGTTCAAGGCTGTAGTGAGCTATGATCACACCACTGCACTCCAGCTTAGGTAACAGAGTGAGATACCATCCCTAAAAAATAAATAAATAAAACAAATAAAAGCTACAAATAGAACTGCCTTATGATCCTGCAATCCTACTACCAGGCATTTATCCAAAAGAAAGTAAATCAGTACATCAAAGGGACATCTGTGGCCCACGTTTATTGCAGCACTATTCACAATAGCCAACACATGAAATCAAGCTAGGTATTCAATAACAGATAAATGGATAGGGAAAGTGTGAGATATATATATATATATACACACACACACAATGGAATATTATTCAGTCAGAAAAAAGAATAAAGTCTTGTCATTCGTAGCAAAATAGATAGAACTGGAGATCATTATTTTAAGTGAAATAAGCCAGGAACAGAAAGTTAAACACTACCTGTTCTCATTCAAATGAGGAAGCTAAAAAAGTTGATTTCATAGAAGTAAAAAGTAGAACAGAGGATACTAGAGGCTAGGAAGGGTAAGGCAAGGAGAGAATAGGAGAGATTTGTTAGAGAATGCGCAGTTACAGCTAGACTAAATTCTAGGGTTCTACACCATTGCAGGATG